CGCTCCCTGGGGATAGGCCTGTTCACATCGCGAACCGCAGGTCTCGTAGGTGCTTCTTGCAAACAGAACCCCCTCGATTCCAGGACCAAAGGCCACAGTTTCACCCGCGAACGTTCCGTGTAGGTAACACCAGGCTCCTCCTGGATCCCTTAATTGAGACAGTGTCAGGCCGTGTTGCTGTTTGGACGTATATGCTGCACTGACAAAGGCAACATTTCATTCACTCGGAAGAAGGAGATTATCGTGCTAATCCACAAATCTACTAGCCATACTAGCTTACCGCGCAGGGTGAAACCGGTCACTTTAAATAACCCTCTTGCAGAAAATTTGGTGCCAATCGCGTGACAAAACTTCTTCCAAAACAACTCCCGCGTGACGTGCATGCTCCGGTTAATGTACGAACTAACAAAAGCCAAAGGCAAGGAACTTAAACGGGACGCCTTTTTTAATTTTATAGAAAACGTTCGATTGGATGTTGTAACACTAATCCATAAGCGTGTGGCCAATAGGGTCCGAGGAAAAGCACACGCTGAACATAGATTGCGGTTTCAAGTGAAACATTCCGAGCAGAGGCTTGATATACCTGCGCATTCCGCATCGATATCCAGTGGGGTTCCTCAAGACTTCGTTTTCAGTCGGCCCTTCTTTATAACCCACGTCAGGGCCGTGCTATATACGCTCATAAATCCAAGTTTAATTTTTGTGGACTGCCGCAGATTTTGGGGATTAGTGAACTTAAGATGAATTTGGATGATACAAAGCAGTGACCACTGGATGGACACTGGTTGAATTTCGAGGAATGTGTATCCACGTCAGTAGGTGGACACTTGTAACGCCTTTGACCTTCCTGTTGTGAATGGATCAGATGACACTAGGAAGCAAGATACCAGAAGGATTTCGCATCTGTTTCCCTTTAAGTGCTACCAGCCTACCCCGCCATAAAAATGGCCTCTAAACGCCTTTGGTGACTTATGTGATTCGACGCACTCTCTCCGGTGCTGCTTGCATGTGCGTTCAAATGTTTTGCAAAGCTTACGCAATTAATAACCCACAATTACCATGCCAAATAGGTACAACCAGGAATTTCCGTTTGTTACGAAACCCATCTACTTAATCTTAACAACTTTCCTCTATTATACTGTTGCTTTCATGGCCTTCCTCGTCGTGGGAGACTGGGGACCCAATAATCCGCACTAACCAACTTGTACTGTGACTTTTAAGTAAACCGGGGCAACTAGGGGACGAGAACTAGCCAAAACCAGATAGCCTAGCCGAATGTTTTGTTCCTGTGCAACTCTCCTTGGATCCATGAACCCTTTTCTGAAACCCCAAACAGGAGGAGAGCTTATAATGCTTCCAGCGGACAAACAGGAAACTTTTTTACACTCTGGAATAAACTTGAAGATGAGATGATGTAAGGCTCCCTACTGACCTTAAGTAAGATATCGGCCTTGCCCGTAAAGTTTGTCGTCTATTGCTTTGCCCCCACGACGCAGCACCACAAGCTTACGTGCCGTCAAGCCTCTGAAGGCCCACTATCATGAGTGGTGATACTTCGTTCCTTTCCCCGTTCTTTAGGTAAGAAACTAGAATCTGTGGCCGAAATAGACGGCCTTCCGGAAGTGGTCCACGAGTCATTGGCTACATACTCGTTTGTAAACTTACGCCGCCAGCTATTCGCACAATGAGATTGAGTTCTCGAAATCTACGGCATTTTCAGACTTGCCACTTCATAGTGTAGGATTTCTATGTATACTTTATATGCTCCCGTATTATTGAAAATCTTTTACTATTGCGATTTGTTTAAGTGAACTAAATCTCCAGGAGAATAAACACCGCCGACTTTGAATACGTTAGCTGATGATAAAAAATCGCGAATTGTGGAAAAGGTTGACTCACATAAAATGAACTTAACTTTCAGGTATTTTTCCACCGGAACAGATTTCCTCAACATTCTAGAATCTAAATGGCCTTTGGAGATGCAACATATGCGTGGGCGCATTCGTGCAAACAAATTTTGGTCGATGATTCTTTGTTGCCGGTAAAAATTCCGTAGTGCACGCTAATTATTTGCTAAACATCGTGAACGTAGACTGGCAAATTACAGAGTTTTTCATAATAGGTTCCGAATTATGCTAGAAAGACCTTGAGGCTCATCGATCTTAACCGACGCACGCCACTAACATGCGTCTAGGGGCACGCGATGCCTAACTAACTAGCCACATAGAGCCTACGTCGATAATACCAGACAGCTGAACGATCTCAACTGACGCACACCACTAACTTGCGGCTAGGGGTACACGATGCCTAACTAATCCATGCATCGGTAACGGAGAAAAGGCTTAAAATGGACGTCTTGAAATTTTGAGAAATATTGGTCGCTTTAAAGTTTACATATGTCCTTCTGTTAGGCGCATTTCCTTCTTCGTGAGGAGCTTTCGTTTGGCCGTCGAAGTCCTGAAATGATAGGAGAATATGATTCAGGTTATCGAAATATCACCACAAGGCGGGCGGCCGACAAACAGGTAGAGGTACTTACCCCAAAATTCACTGCGGCGACTATGCTGTCGTAGATGCCTGTTTACACAATGCCATCTTCAGCGGTTATTTCGCATGCCTGCTTACTGCACCTCTCAAGAAATACGGGACTTACATGTAATGCATAGGACCTCATTGACAGACAAACTTTTCGGAGCCGATGGATCACATGAAATCATCTTCTTCTCTTTCATCTGGCTGGCGCTCTACAGAGTTAGTCGCAGTTGTCATTGACTCACTGCTGCCGAGCAGTTCCACTGTGGACCCGAAAACACGGACTCACGTAGATTTACGGAGCACACAGTCGGGGGTGGTTTGGGAACAAGTGTAAGGGGTGCACCTTTTCCCAGTAGGTTGTAATCTGACAGCCATCGTTGGTGGATTGGAAAGCAAGCTAAGAAAATGTCAATGATGAATAGTTCTTACTGCTCGGAACGGACTGATCTCGAAATATAGAGAACAGGTGTACGCAGGGGAGCCACATCGCCTGATAGAAAGGGCATGTGCATTCTTCAGCACAGGTGTCGACAGTCTGGGAGCATCTGGGTGTTTGCACCACAAACTATAAGTTAGTTTACGTAGCTCGACCTCACCTTGTTTGTTCCGACACTTTCATACGGCAGCCGCGGCGGTCGCGGACCCAAGTGCCTCAAAACGAGAGAGCATGCATATGTCGTCATTCGACAGACTACGTTTAGAACGTAGGCGTCACCCTCCAGGATTTGCCGCCTGTCGCAGTGGTACGACGTATGCATCTCAAACTCCCGCATGAGCCACTCGGCGTGCCGGGACACCTTTTGAATGGCATGCTCCAACGTGTCGGAGTGGTGCACCTGATCTTTAAGGCGCCCGTTCGCATTCTCCAGTCGGTTGTTGGTCACATTACCGAAATGAACCATTCCGGACTGTGCGTGTATGGCCCATTTTCGGGTGATGTACAATCAGCGAGCCGTAAGCTAGGAGAGAACTCGGGGGTCAGTTCGACGCAGAAGCTGTAGATCTTGCCGGAATCTGTGTGCTTGTAATGTGATGAACATAAAACCTATCGTACAGCGAGCCGTGCGGTAAAATATGTGCCGGCTGTTCGCAGAGTGTGTCTATGACCATAAGTACATGGACATTAAATGATACATCCACGCTCCCTGATGACTTTGCGGACATGAAAGTAGAAAAGCATAATGTCACAGCATAATGTCACGACTCTTGCCACACGCATTTACGCCACCAACTTGTCCATTACAAAGGTCCTGACCGGATACGCTTCGCCCATCATTTCTTCGAATAAGCCGATAACTTTACGCGTGGGAGTAAACTTCTCGCTCTCTACGAACGCATGTATAACCAGGCGCCCGGTTCCTATGCCGTCCGTTATCAAGAATGTGTATAGTTTATATCTAAATGCGGAATATTTGATGCTTTAAAAAACTTACCCAAGACGGTTTGTTGCATGTGTCTCGTCCACATTCACTACGTCGGGAAAGCGTCGGAATAACGCTATCTGCTGCCATCGGGAGAAACATATGTGGCTATAGTGACCTTCCTCTCCCTGACACACAAGAACGCGTCCGGTCTCCCAAAGTTTTGCCAGGGCCGAAGGCATATCATCTGCTACATTAAAACCCAACCATTAGGCACCTACTCAACATAGCCGGTCGACACTTCCGGCGGTAGTTGTGTATATCCTTAGTTGTAAGAATCTTTCCGAATTCATCCGCCACAAACTGCCGCACCTCAGATGACGGCGTTCCATATCTCAGCAGGGCCTGGCATGTGCCCAACTCGTCTTCGGTTAAGCGTCGATTGACTGGAAGCCGATCGTAAAGAAACTTTGACAGTTTGTGGTTGTGTTCCAGAAAATAAGACGTCACTGCCAGTTGGTTCCTTTGCCTCCGTAGACAAAACCGCACTGGGCAGCTGGTGCTTCGCGTACTTTTTTTATTAGAAATTACGCTCGGCTTACTAGCTTCTTCGGATTCCACGGCTTTCCGTTTTTCTTGGAGGGCGCCTGCTGCATTTGTAGTACACCCATTCGTAACGCAAAATAGTGTTGGTGCTTCGATTACTGGATGAACGCACAAATATCAGAAAGTTATCCTTCATGTATTCATTTAAAGTCTTCTCTAACGCCATGAAGGATGAAAACGATACACCCACAAATTTCTCAACGACAGCCACTTCCGAAGCCATAGCAGACGAACTTCAAAGCCAATTATGCGCAAATAGTTTTCAAGAGATCGACTAAAACAAATCGCGAAAAAATGACTGCAGATGAGGGTGGTTTTCAGTCGACGCATATATGCAAAGAATTGCAACATTCTGACGTTAAGGTTTTCATTTCGCCCGCAGGGGTTTTACAGAAAAATGCATTGTGCATCCAGCCGCTGGCGTAAACTTACCGAAACTTTTCAACCAATGAGATCCCCACTTCGCATCGCATACGGTTGGGCTCCTAGTCGCAAAGCATGTGCGTTCTGAACGTCAACGTTGGCGTCTTGGGCCATGTTGATTCGGGGAAAACTAGCCTAGCAAAAGCACTTAGCACGATCGCAAGCACCGGCGCGTTCGACAAAAATCCGCAAAGCAGAAAACGCGGAATCACTCTCGATTTGGGGTTCTCTTCATTCACAGTGGATTTGACTGGGACGTCTCTTAGGTCTTCATTCGAGCAGGGCTACAAACAAGTTCAGTTCACTTTGGTTGACTGTCCTGGACATGGTTCTTTGATACGAACAGTCCTCTGTGGTAGGTCCACGTATAGATACTCTCTGACGTGTTAGGATCCCAAATAATTGATATCATGCTTTTGGTTGTCGATATTTCCAAAGGTTTCCAAACACAGACTGCAGAGTGTCTCATAATCGGCGAAATTACATGCGACCAGATGATCGTGGTTTTGAACAAAAGTGATTTGCTGAAGGAAGATGTCCGTGCTTCTCAAATAGACAAGGTGGATTTTGTAAACCAACGTCTCACCCCTGTAGATGAAGAAACGGATTTCGAAAACACTGGAGCAAACCAAGTTCCGGGGAGCCCCGATAGCAGTGGTTTCGGCGGCGCCTGGAGGCAATCAGGTGAGACTGAGATATCCACGCGAAATTTAAAGGAATACTTCTGATGTACGTACCATCATCGTCGACAGCGTGACATCAGTGCTTTACAGCCATGCTTCACTGCCGTACAAGCGATTCCTCTGTAGATTTGGGACACAACTATTTGTGAATAAACGAGCGAGGACACGATAAGTTTCAGTGAAGAGATGGCTGCGCCCCCAATGTCACTTATCAATGTAGTATTGTGGATTTTTGTAAAGGAAACAAGGTTGCTGAAAACTCTTCGACAGCCCACGACCGGTTTCGCCCTTCCACTTCAGGCTCATCAGGTAGGCGCAGTCCCCGATTTTCTGTCAGCCTTATGTCCTACTTGAACCCAAATTGGACTGTTTTAGGGAAATACACTCCTTCACGAAAATATACTGGGATATCTCGAACATCGTGCCAACTGAAACATGAAGCGGCGTCTGTGCAGCACATTCAGTTGTAGAATATCATAAACGAGAGATTCAGTCGAGTCTCTCTTGAAAACCAAATAGTCTTATGGATGCTTTGTCGGGACCTTCCGATTCATTATTGTCCAGTGAGCTTCTGTTTGTCTGGAATCTGGAGTATTAGTACTTCTTGTTTGTGCAATAAACTACGAGACGTGGTCAATCACACAGAAACGGTTTCTCAAATGTTTTGGGACATCCTCATTATGGATGTATTCTTGTTTGGTTTGGCGACTAAAGAAAAAGTGGCTTCGTACGCCATATTAGCGATCTAAAGAAGCATTGTTTCCCAACACATGCGCAGTTTATCCCTGCGCTTCTTTATATCCATGCCAAGTATTGAAAGATACTGGGTCAACTTCAGCATCAAGACATCGGTCAAACAAGGCAACGTAGGAATCCCATGAAAACCTGTACTTTACTGCGAGTAACGAAAAAACTGGAACCGGAATAATGTAGCCCCATTTTATTGAGAACACAGGCAATAGTAGTCCGTGTGAATGCACGTCAAAACCAAGTGAAGGGACGGACAGTGTAGTGTCGTTCCGGTATGGATTGCTCTCAGAAGAGAATAGGCCGATCAAGCCGTTAATAACCGGAGATGTTTTAGAGCCGATCCTAGCTGATCTCAAGTTATTTTGTCTTTTAGAGTTGTAACCTCGAGGAATGGTAGCAGAAATGGAGAAATGCCTCGCACGCTCTCGCGATACGCAGACATGTTTGAAAACACCGGTTGCAATTCATCAGATTTTTCTTCAAGCAAGTGCTGTTGACTCAGTGTCCTGATGTCTCCTTCGGTGCATAGCTTCACGCCAACAGGTATCAGAAGTTTACACTATATCAACATCCAACTGGCGTACACCATCGTCTTCAGCTTCGAACCCTATTAGACGGTGACTGCCATGAGGGCATGCATCCCTCCGCGAAGATTCTAGGTCTTACGATGATGTGACGGCTTAGGTACCTCAGTACCCC